TCTCTCTCTCTCTCTCTCTCTCTCTCTCTCTTCATAGTTGAAGAAAATAAACAACTCTAACTCGCGAGTCTCGCGTGATTCTGCTTTCGCCAGCGCGACGGAAGGTTAATTATTTACGCTAATATATAGTTAATATTGTTGCTAACTATATTCCAATGTTCCCGTTGTTAGTCCTGAGTTACAAAGCATAATTAAAAGATAATAATATATGTATTTATTAAAATTAATTGGTGTAAATAGACTTGTAATTAATATATGCATATGTATGAAAATGAGTATGAATATATATATGAGTATGTTGCACTTAACACAAGTCTGATGATACAAAAATAAAGACAACGAAACTTGTCTGTTAAACTAACACCTCCACCACAAAAAATCAAAATGGCACCTATACCAGAATTAAATATGTTTTTTATGTACTTATGTGCTCTAATGCCAATTTTTGTACTTGAACGGTTTAAAAAAAAATCGGAATTAAAAGTGGGGGTGCTAGTTTAACAAACATAAGTGAAACATAGGAATATGCATTACATATTTCATATATTAGTTTATTGTTTTAATAATTTTTGTACTTTCTAGTATTACAAATGTTTAATTTCTTTTTTATGTACATAAAATAATTGATTTCTTAAATGTCAGTCTGGAATCAATTTTAGACTTCTTTTTACATTCTCCCTTAAATTAATTTATTAGATATTGAAATTAATATAGCACATATATGTATAATATATGACTAAATAATCATTGGCTTAATAAATACATACATGTCTACTATTAATTTTAATGACAGTGAAATTTAATAAATGACTTTTGCAATCATTTATAAAATCTTTGAATATGATATTGTGACTTATCAAACACACACATTTACTAAAAAATAAATCTTTTGTTTGTGTACTTATGTATGTAGTTGTGTAAAACATAAACTAATTTTATAATGATAAATAAAAATAGATGTTTTACCTTAGCGATTTGACTAAAAGCACTAGCAGATTCAGCATGACCAAGATTAGATTTTACGGAGCCGATCATTAATGGAACTTCTCTATTTTCACACAATACATTATGGATAGCGTTTATTTCTTGAAAGTCGCCAACTTTGGTACCGGTACCATGAGCTTCAAGATAATCCAAACAAGATATTGGTATTCCGCATTCATTGTAAAATTCTGTTAGTAAAGTAATTAACATATGCATCGACGGACATGTTATGTCTTCGTTTTTATAACCATCGTTATTTAATTTTATATGCGGACATACGGCATAAATCCTCTTTGCATTTTTCGCCTTTTGAAGGTATATTACTGCTACAGTTTCGCTACGTAAATAACCGTTTCCAGCAGAATCGAAAGGTCTACAACAACCTTCAGGTGATAAAATACCTACATGATACAAAATACAGTACGCAAAGTATATTATACGATTATTGAGTAAGAATTATTTAGAATAAGAAATTCAGTTCCGATGACCTTGACCCATGTTGCCAAGATCATGATCTTGAGTAACTTCCAACAGAGAGAGGTTTTAGCCGTCGCGTCGCTCCGTTACTCATTAAATATAGTTATTAATAAATGAAATTAACAATATTATAAATTGTCCTGAAATGATATTTATTTAATATTTACAGTAAATTTAAAATAAATTTTCTGCCTTAATAACGGAAATTTTCTTTGAAAATATTATTTCTTGTATAACCTTTGTTTTTTTAGCAGATAATTTGTTTTTAAAGTAGAGAATTTATGATTTTGTAATGACTCTATGCAAAGCGAGTTTCACCTCACTTTTACGTAAAGCGAGTCTCATCCCACCTAAACTCCTGCCAAAGGGCGCATGACTTTCCACGTGAAGGAAGTCTCACACCCCACCTCCCCTTTTCCAAGGATCGTTCGACTTTAACATAAGATGGATATGGGACTGAATATAGAAAATCATGCGCCCCTTGGCAAAAAGAAGCTGAAATATGACTCAGTTCGCGTGGAAAGTAGTTTGTCCCTTGACAAGGGAGAAGTGAGGCGAGACTCGCTTCACGTAGAAAGTCGTATGCCCCTTGATAAGAAGAAGGTGGGATGGAACTCCATTCGCGTAGAAAATCATGCAAGGGGAAGGTTAGGTAAGACTCGCTCCACGTGGAAAATTGAACGTTTCTAAACAGGGAAAAGGTGTAGAATAGTATTTATACATATATATATAGCAGATATAATACATTATTTTTAAAATAAATTAATAGAAGGCTCAACAAGTATAAAACAAATTGATTAAAAATAAGAGAAAAGAGCCAATAATTTTTTAAAAAAGATATATAAATGTAATTAACTCAAAATCGCAATACATTAAACAAACAGAGTAAAATTCGCAAGTAAGAATTCGCACATACGTTTCAATACCGATCGGGTCATTTTCAATGTTAAATTTAAAATTAAGTGTGTATATAATAGAATTGACGAATCAACAATAATAAAATTTATATGTGTAAATTATAATAAAATTAACGAGTCACAAATATAAAATTAAATGTGTATAATTGAATAATTAACGAGTCGCAAATATAAAATTAAAATGTTTATAATTGAATATGGATCTTCCTTTGTGATTAGTTTCGCATGAGTTATATAAATCTATTGACAAAAAAGTATATAAATTTAAAAACTTAATTATGAAGAAGTAAATTGTATATATTACCTTAATAGAAATGTAATAAAAAATGTATAGTCCAGTATAAAAATCCAGTATGTTTAGATCCATTATTGAAATTAAATAAATAAATAAAATAATTTTATTATAATTATACACATGTAATTTTATTATTGTTGATTCGTTAATTCTATTATACACACTTAATTTTAAATTTAACATTGAAAAATGACCCGATCGGTGTCGAAACGTATGTGCGAATTCTTACTTGCGAATTTTACTCTGTTTGTTTAATGTATTGCGATTTTGAGTTAATTACATTTATACATCTTTTTTAAAAAATTATTGGCTCTTTTCTCTTATTTTTAATCAAATTATTTTTAAAACTTTTTTTATTAATAACTTTTAACGAATAACGAGCGACGATTAAAACTTGTAGGAGATTACTTAGAATTATGACCTTGACAACATATGTCAAGGTTAAAATCATCGAAGCTGACTCCTCTATTCTAAATAATTACCATTAGTATATATCTATATATATTGGGAGTACAACTTTGCTCCCGCCGTTTTTACAGGTATAAATTTATACCTGTAAAAACGGCGGGAGCAAAGTTGTACACCCAATATATACCTCTCAGTAGATTAATAAATTTTTAACAAAAATGTTAAGATTAATAAATTGTAATATAAAAAAAGAGATACCAAGATAAGTTAATTGTAGATTTATAAATGGATTAAAACATAGATTTGCAGTTCCAATAATCGCATCTTCGCATTTTCCCGACATAATATAATGATAACCAAGGGCTATGGCGTAAAGACTAGAACTGCATGCTGTATCGACGGTTTGAGATGGTCCTTTTAAATCCAAGCAATATGAAATCATATTTGCTACTGTAGATTTGCTACATCCGACAGTATTCAAACCACCTAACTAAATTGCAGAATATTAACGGTTACAATTTCCACGTAAGAATAATGAATTTAGTAATCTTTTTATACTATACTTGTACGGAATAAATCACTAACAGAGTATTAAAGATTATTATTTTTAAAGTTTAGCAAAATACGAAACTTTTTTTATAATTTGCTTGATGTATCGAAGTGTAACATTATATGGTAAAGTTATTTTTTCTAACTGGCATAGCTTTAAAGATTTCAAGATTATTTTTAATTTCAATTGTACAATTATATATAAATTTGAAAAAAAAAGTTTGTCATATTTGTTTCTTCTCGGAACAATATATATAATAATACTTCTATGGATACAGTCCACTTATGCTACAAATGCTTCGTTAATCAATCAGAAGAAAAAGTCTTACGAATTGACCAATCGAAGAATGCTTCAAAGCATTTGCAGCGTAAAGTGGATCGCACCCTTTAAAATAGAATGATCAGATATTCCGTTTTTTTGAATTGCGTCTGACAATTTCCTGACGGAATGCATATACATATATTTAGCACGTATTATTATAACATTACTTAAACAGAATATGTATTAAAATTAACAATAAACCTCCCAGGTCAAGAATAAATTGAGCAATAATGGTTGTTAAATATATCTATAAATTTATTATAACGATAACACTAATATACGGTACGTTTCGACTTCACAGAGTCCTCATCAGCAGTAAAAAAACCCCTTAACAGATGAAACCAATTTCCTCTTAAGACATCCGAAATTACTACGATCACACTATATGTTCTAACTGTGCAGATGGTCACACGTTAGAATATGTATCTTTTATTGTTTGTTTACTTATCTGTTATAGTATATAATAATAATAATAATTTATCAATATTATTTGTTATATCGCAATGAATGAAAATATTTGATACAACAATGTAAAAAATTGTTTAATCTTTACTCATAACATATATCGATTAATCTTTAAACATATTTATATTTACTATTTTCTAGCCCGCTTTGCTAATGTCTCGTTTTTTCATTTTAAAAATTGGGTCACCTGCATAATGTATAAGTTCTCACATATACTTAAAATAATGTATATGTATATTTATGTAACAGAAATTTCAAACAGAGTTCAAAAAATACGATATCAAAAATCTATTATATAATATTTTGTTCGATTTTCTCAGAAATTACTTATATATATTAATAATTTCCTTTACTTGATAATTTTCATATAAGAGTTTCTTTTGTGCATCAATAGTGGATATCCCTATGATTACAGCAGTATTTTTTCCTCGTAATTGCTTTGGATTAATTCCTGCATCGATAACTGCTTCATAAGAATGTTCCAGTAACATTCGTGTTTCAGGTATGAGTGCGTGTGCTTGCTCAAAAGACAATCCAAAAAAATCCGCATCAAATTTTTGTACGTTATTGACAGTACCCATACGGAATGACAATTCCTCGGAAAATTTTGTATGCTCTAAAGATAGATATATTTACATAAAGACTTTATATTCCTTTCATTTACATTTTTATATAAAATTATGATTGAAAAATTGAGATTTGCGTAGTTGACAAATAAACATGTAATATTTATATTTAGTACAAACGATAAATGCGGCATATTTTTACAATTAGTAATCAAGCCTGAATGTAGAAGTATAATGTATAATCATAAGTATGATTTAATTACCTTTTTCCCATCGGTTATGATCTATTACAAGATCAATTTTATTGAATAAATTTTCTCGTAATTGATTCATGTTGTCCGAATTAGGAAATCTGCCAGCAATACCAGAAATAACGATTTCCTCATTGGAAACAATATCGTTCAATATTTCTTTGCCATCCATGATTTTTATATACTCGGACAATCTAGAAAAATGCTATACATATATACAATATTTATTTTACGTTTATTTATTTCATGCAAGATTGAATACATAAATACATTTATCTTTTAACTTTTAACTAATATAGATTAATAATGACTTATAAAATTAATTTATTTCCGTTAAAAGTTGCATAAAGAGAACATTTAAATTAATTGTAATAACATTATTAATTTAAATTAATAATGTTATTAGGATCTAATAAATTAAATCAATTTAATACGAAAATTCTATCACAATCTAAAAAATGTAAATATAATGCATATAGAATCGATGATTTATGTTTTGCAAGTACCTATAAATTCAATTACACTACAGCTGCGTTCGTTTTTCATGCTCACGCGCGTGAAAAATATTTTATTTTAATTTTAAACTGTATACGAGTACATATATGTATGTATATACATGTATAAAAAGGTGTTACAAAATTCGCGCCTACAAAGTACAAGATGTGATACTTTATGCTAAAAAAACAACTTTCTCCTTTTGCAAAATTGCGTGTGATAAGTGACAAGTAGTTTTTGCAGAGAGAACAGGATGAAGTTAACGAATGAGCACTCTGATCCATGTGGAGCTCAGGACGTCCTTGTTCGTTTGTACTTAATCTTTGACCAGTATTCATAAATAAATTTTAAAATACTAAAGTAAATGTTTCAATTAGGGTAAATGTCCCAATTACTGTCGTTTTTTTTTAATTACGACATACGAGTATATAAAAATATGAGATCGTTATACATTAAAAATATTTTTAATATTAAACTATAACTGTCATATAAATATAAGCACAACTGTATAAGATATTCAATATAATTTATATTTATAAAATAATTAAAGAGCAAATATTAAAATCTTTTTTAAGGACCGTATAAACAATAAACAAGAAAAAGGAAGCCTAACAACGGTCAAAGCTAGATCACAATGCTTATTATAATTATGTGTGAATTTTATATACCGCGTATGTAGTTCCCTTAATCGCGTGCCGAAATCTTTTTTCAGACTTACAACGCAACTCTAATGAACTACTGTAGTAATATCACGCAGTTAAATTGACAAGCAATTAAACCATTTTTTTATACTTATAGCATCTTATTGGATCTTAATAATATGTTGAAAGACATATTAAAATCTAATGATGTAACGTTATGTTCATATAATTGTATTGTTGTATTGCTTAAAAAATAAAAAGCTTTTTTCTTCTTTTTTTTAACATCCTATTTTATTACATTGCAACCTGTCACTAATCGAAGAATATTCAGCAATATTTATGATAATATTGATAATGAATTGTGCAGGTGGCTAGCAAGATATATGACCTTTTTGTCATATTCTTATATCTATAAAAGCTCGAAGTTAGTCTGAATGGCGAATGTGTTCAAAAAATCGATTGATCTTCTTTTTGAGTTTATGAACTATTCCTTTGTTCTTCATAGAAATTTATCGACATAGCTTATATAATAATTGTATATGATTAACTGGGTTTATTTAATACACTCTCAAACCTTGTAGTGAAAATCTTCACTTTTTAATTTTTGAAGCTTATGTTGCTATATTGAATCCGCTAGTTCCAATTCAACAATTGCAATTACACAGTAGTTTTTTAATCAGTATATTTTAATTAATCTATCTATTTAAAAATTTATTATATCAATAAAGCTTTTTAAATGTATGAAAATATTCATTAATACAATGCGGTAATTAATCATTTTATTTCATAATATAAAGAATTATGATCATAAAGTAATAAAATCATTACTTAAATTAGCTATTACATGTATTAATAATAATAAAACTTAGTACATGATTCAATAATATATTATTATAAAATGAATAAAATTTTTCATTAATATTATAACGAATCGATGGCAGATTGTTTCAATGTATATTTTCATGTTACACTAAATTCTAATAATAGTTTAATAACTTATTTATTCTATTTACGTACGTATTTATTCAGTATGCCTCGTTGATTTCGAACAAGTCGGATCGAGTCGCTAGCAAAGAGTTGAGCGCGTTATCAAGTAATGATCTCGTTGTGTATCTAACAAACGTCTAGAAATTTAGTGACGGAACGCGTTAATCCGATTGGACGTTTTGCATTTCTCTCTGCATTTTTGTGTCTGAAACACATTCTATAACAAACTCTGCATTCGTATGACCCATGCTCTTTTCACAATAAAGAATAAATTTTTATATTTTAACGTCTTTTATCATGTTTGTTGATCCGGAAATGAACAAGGGCGAATGCAAAAGCAGATAGCAACACGAGCTCGACCGTCTTCGTGCATAAAAAGTAGTTATTTTTACTTATATTTTAAACATAAATGAAACTGACAAAGAACGATCACAATTTTCTCTTCTTTGTAAATTTTTGTTTAGGTAAATTTACTCAAACTTAATTTTATTAAGTTCATGTGCGCTTTTTGATATTTTCAGTTATAATTTCGACTACCAATCATGGGAATGGATTACTAAACGTTAGTAAGTAACCACCAAATAAATGCTTACAGTTATTATATGTATATTGAGTCTACAAAAGCCGTATTTTATAAAGGGGGCTAACTTCACAGACGTATGTCTTTTTTTATATTTCTCATTATAACTTTAACTATCAAATGTCAAGAATGAACTACCAAACGACCACCAAACAAATGATAAAGATTATTTTTAAATTTTTAATAATGGGAGAGACCAACTTCACACAGTCTTTATGTTACTAAAGTTCTTTTATTTAGGATAATTCCAATATATGTGCCATACAGGAATTTATACCACAGAAATTAGAAAAAATAGAAATGAGAATAATTTTCCCACAACACTACTCTAGCTGTTACACGTCTTTATGTTATATTAATATTGTGTTATATGATTTCACTTTTTTACTGTTACTATTAACACTAAACGTACCACGACCCGGTCAAAAATGACCGGTTGTAATTTTTGATTAGAAAATTCGCATAATATGTGATCGTTTTTCATATATGACTTCATGATTTTTTCTATTAAATATATACAATTAATTTTACATCATTTATTTATATTTTTATTTGTTAAATCTGATAAACACGTGTAACCTAGCGTTATTTATCACGACAAGTCATTTCACCGGTTACAGTACAAATAGGTATATATTAAATCTCGGTACGTTTAGTGTTAATGAAATTATTGCAAAATTAATTCGATTTGTTATTGTAATAAGAGTAGCGCCATCATAAATTATATACATACATAAAATAATTACTGTTGAGCGTGTAAAAGACTTAGTGGTTATATATTCCGTGATATATAAGTGTAGAGGAATAATAAAACATGTTGCATTGCAAAATACAAGTATTTTACTCTTGTACACTTTGTTTAGTTTATTATATCTCACCTGTTTAGGACATACTGTATATTTATCAGGAGATATTTATTTCCAAAACATACAAAGCACATAGATTGAATTCAATGCACTAAATGCAATAAACGCATTAAAATACGTACCTTAAGTCATAACACTTGTAATACCTATATGTAGGAAAATTGTAATTATTATCTATTACTTTATATACATATTTATTGTTCTTATTCACATTAATTATAATTTGTAAACACATTTTATAAATTATTATACTATTTTACGTCTTATTTATAAGCATTATTTGTAAATTTTTTATAAGCTGAATATTTTCCCCTCCCCTCTATAAGTAGCCGCACATCCCATCCTTATAGGATATAGCAGAAATACAATGCATGGGTTTAAAAGTTTTTTCTTTAATATGAAAAATAATTATTTCGGATTTCTAATATTTTTTTAGTAGTAATTTATAGTAGTATTGCAGGAAACAAATACATATTTACACTGATAGCAGAGCAGCTATCGAAGCACTTGCAAGAACCTCCACAGAATCATCTGTGGTATGGAACTGTATGCAAGCACTCACAACGCTAGGGGTAACAAACCAGGTAACCCTAGTATGGGTCCCTGGACATCAGGGTATACCTGGAAATGAGAGAGCGGACGAGCTGGCAAAGCTGGGCACCGAAAAGGTCCCGGCTGAACGGATCGTCGGGGTCCCATTTTCAGCAGGAACAAAAACGATCAAAGAGTGGCTTGAACGGGAGCACTCGAACTCCTGGAAGAGGACAGAGAGCTGTAAACGAGCCAAACAACTCATGAAACTTCCAAAACCAGCAAGAACTAGAGAATTGCTGGCAATGGGAAAAGCAAAACTGAGGAGCGGTATAGGCCTCCTGACAGGACACTTGCCCCTCAGAGCACATCTATTCAACCTAGGACTAGCGGAGCAGTAAGAATGCTGGCTATGCAGAGAAGAAGGCGAGGACAACCTGCACTTACTGTGCCGATGCCCTGCACTCGCTTGTAAAAGATACAAATCCTGGGAACATATATTTATGACACCCAAGGATCTAGAAAATGCGAAGGTTAGCAGTTTAATAAGTCTTTAATAAGTAAGTGACACGAGGCTGGGCTCAACTGAATGACCTACGGAACAAGCAGGGAGCGACAATGGAACCTCATGTATCTAGGTCGCGTTAGAAGGCTAGTTAAGCCCACCTGCATTCATTTATTACTACTACTACTTATAGTAGTATTAGACAGTACACAGTTTTTACTGATATATAGTTTATTTACCTTAAATATAGCATATAATGCTTAATAAATTAAGTTTTTGTTAGGTATGACATATATATAACGGAGTTACCTAATATTTGTTCTGAAATCTCGTAAATTAATTAACTTATTATCATTGTGTAAAACATCTACAAAAAATTAAAGACATCTTTTTTTATGACCTCACTATTACTTTCGTTCAGAAGCCAATTATATACCTTTTTACGAATGTAAGGTTTTTTATTACAATTGTCAAAAGAAATGAAATGAGTTTTTTAAATATTGTGCTATATACATATAAACAGGAAAGTTAAAAAAAGAGAACAATAAATATTTAATAATTCTAAAAAAAGACTTATGAATTTATTAATATTTTCAATTGTTGTCTTTTTTAAACTTGAGACCATAAAAAAAATATTTTTAATTCATTTTATTTTACAATTTTAATTTCCACCTTTGCTTTACACATTGTAAGTTATTTTAATGAAATTCGATCAAATGCTGTTTAATTTTTAAAAAAATTTGAATTTATTAATTTTGGATTTAGGCGCATAGACGATATAAGAAATATATGCGCCTACGTAAATTTCAATAAATGTGAATCCTTTTTTTTAATTATAAAATATTAAACAGCATTCGATCGAAAATTACAATGTATGAAACAAATATTCAAATAAAAATTGTAGATAAAATGTCTTGGCAAAACACCAACTTGTTTAGAATTCTTCTAAAAATACATAACTTTGATTATTCTATAATATAAATATATCCACTCGCTCTTTTTATATACATTAACTGTTTTTATATCATATCGTACATACATTAACATTCACAAAATAATTATAAATCGACAACTCATTATGTTGAATGTAATAATACGATATATCAAATTTCCTTTTTATTAATTGATATTGCAAATAATTTCCACACTATGAAAACATATTGATTCTGGATAGTGTTTTTGATTTCTCAACATTTTTCATTTCTCGAGAAAGAGAAGTTTGATTTTTCAAGATTTCTCGAAAAATTTCGTAAAATTGTAAATAATGAAAGAACAACATAATTTAACAATTCTTAATTTTCATTAATTAATGTTTTTATGGCATTGACATTTTTATCAGAATTATTATTGCACAGTCATTATCGCCAGAAGATAGTCTAATGATCCCATGAACTTAAGTGTACCTAATTCGGAACATGATTTTTGAATTTTTGAGAAATAATAATATAATTTCTTAAGAAATTAAAATTTTTTTCGAAAATTTTTCAAGAGAAAAAATTCTTGAGAAGATCGAAACACTAATTCTGGAACATTGTATTAATGCAACCCGAGCATATCAAGTTTTTTCTTTACTATAAATTATAAGTAATTTAATCGATCGCTTAAATACCGGCCATAAAAGCATTCTTTGTGTACTTAAAACGCATGCGCACATGACCATAAAGTTGAAAATATAATCGCAGCGCATGCTTGTAAGTTCCGTTGAACCACCCGACCGGTGCGGACGCGTCTCGGTTCGGGTGTTCGTTTTTTGTATATTTTTGAGAAAGTGTTGCCGACTTTGACCATGCCTTGAATTTCCTTACTGATGTGTGTCCGCGTTTGGCTCGGCTCGTTCGTCCGTCCGGACGCGCGTTAGAGTGGCGTGACGACGTTGCAATCGCAGGCGCCCTGTGTTCGTTCGGGCTTCGCCATTTTTCGCGGGCATTGCATCATTCTTCGTTTACATATTACGACTTTGTTTCGTTTACACATTACGACTTTTGTTACTGGCCTTGACGATTGCCGTTGGAGCGGCTACATGGCCAATAAGAATACAAAGAAGAAGAAGAAGAAGCGCATGCTTGTAACGTAGTATTTCACGACTGTGACAGATTTCCTAACCTGAATAGTCGTCAACTTTAACGCTTAATATCTCGGTTCATGGGACACAGCGACACTAATTTTGTCTGCCAGATTCGTTTATTTCGTACAAAAACGCGTCGAATAAGTGTATTTTTATCAGAATTTGAGCTGAGCGGGTTCTTTTTAACATTTACCTTTTTGTTAAGTAAACAGGTTAAGATGGTACGAAAATGCTGTGTGCCTCAGTGTAAATCTGATATAAAATTTATTCCGTCACATAGACTTCCTAAAAATTTACAAAAAGCAAAAATTTGGTTAGAAGCAATTAAACGAACTGATTTAATTAGTAAGTTTAATAAAAGAATTAATGTGTATTTTTAAATATTTATAAAGTATTCTCATAAAAGTATTTATAATTATTAATATGTATATAAATTGATCAAAACATCTTACAAGAATATAATTGTACAGAATATTTAATATTTAGCTATATTCAACAGAAAAAACAATTATCGCAAAATTCTTAATATGATTGGTTTATACATTTAGATCCAGTGATTAACTAAGCGCAGAATCAATAATATATTAAAGAATTTTGCAAAGCTGTTTTTTCTACTGAATGCAGCCATTATGTTTACTGTCCAAGATTTATAATTTTTGGTAATTCTGGATACTGGCTTTATATGCATTGGTATTTATATCTATTGCTTCCTTTTTTCTTATATGTATATGGTAGTAAAAAGAAAAAGGATAGTAATAAACATGAATATGTAAATCAAAACAATATATTAGTCAAATTATAAATCTTGAATAGTATTAATATATATCTTCATATTTTTATATTATATATAATTATATACAAATTTATATGAATATATCTTTCTATTATAGATGCATCCTCACAAACATTAAATAACTTGAGGATTTGTACATTACATTTTTCTGACGATTGTATTGTAAGCTATGCAGCACGGCGAAATTTGAAAGATTGTGCACTTCCAACTTTGCAATTACCATCCATAGTAAATGAACAAGCTGAAACTAGTACTACTATTTCAAATTTTGAAAATGTAGATATTCATCACCCTGTTGTAATGCCAATACCAAAATGCAAGCAAGTCAATATACAATCATCACTTTCCAATCAAGTATGTAGAAAAAAATTAAGACAAGCAAAAAAATTATTATATAAAAAGAAGATTAAAATCTGCAAACAGCGTAAAGAAATTAACAAATTTCGAAAGAAAAATAAGTGGGAAGAAATTACAACAGATTTCTCATCTGTACAAAGAATCTTTTTAGATGTGATCAAAATGAATTTAAAGCGTAAACCAGAGGTATACTTCTCATATTATTTTATTATTGACTTAGTTTATACCAATGATTTATTATATTAAGTAATAAATATTTTTAATACGATTATTTACACGTTGAATATTACGCTGGTCACTAACGACTATTACTAGAATTAATGTAATAAAGAATATATAAAATTCACAATTAATGATAATATATGAACTAATATAGTAACTCTTTTTCTATCTCTGGTGTAGTGATGTATGATGAAAATCGACATAACAATCTAAAATAAAAACAAGTATTTAATTTTTTGTTTTTAATTACATAAATTTAAAAATATGTAGAGAAAACAAGCAAATTACATCTTGTATTCAACAAATTCAATTGAAATTTATAGCTAATATACATTAATTAAATAAATAACTCATCGGTATATACTTTGTCTTTTCATTTATGAGGTAGCAATAAAGTATACAAAAAATAAAAGAGCAAAAAGATAGAATAAATTGCAAACAGATATGATCAGAATTAATTGATAATTGATTGTTAAAACCTGACAACTGATTGTTAAAGTATATAAACGTATTATTATTACTAAAATTATTTTATTCTTTATGTAATTTAGTTAAAAATACAATAAATCTCTAAAGAAAACTGATTCTCTTTTATAATTCCTTTCAATAAAGAATTTTATCATTTATATTACATTATATTATCACACACACACATTTAACATTATTTAATAATTGTAAAAAGATATTCTTAATTAGATCTTAATTAAAAAGTGATAAACTTTGTTTATATTTACTATGTATATTTATTTACAGTATTCTATTTTTTGCAATACTTATTTTTAACATATATTAGTTAATAATTAATGTTTACTAACGCTTTGTAGTAGTCATTACTAACATTAATAATTGTAGTAAATAATGTAAAATTATGAATTAATTTTTAGATTGGACTCAATATTGTAGTTTTTATATATTTTAAATTTACTTTCTTTTTTTATTGTATAAGTACAATATATATACATATATTATGTGTATAAATTATACCATAACAGTATCAATACATAACAATAACTTAATAATTTATTTTTTATAAAATATTTTTATGGTTTTGTATATAAAAACATATTTTTAATTTTAAAAACAAGTTTTACTTATTATGATTATTTTCGGGAACAATAATTTCTCTGATTATCGTAATATTGACTAATACATGTAGTTTTAATTTAATCTAAAGAATTTTAGATCAAAATTATTTCAAGTTGCAATTTTACAGCTCCGAATTAAAATATAATTCATAAAGTATATTTTATGACATATATTTTATTATAATCATAAAATATAATCATGATACACAAGAAAAATTACTATTTTAGATGACGCATGGTGTCACTGAACATACAACGGAATATGTAAGTAAATACGTATAAATTTATCTAAATTGTGTATTTAAATTTTATTCTGTATAAATTATATAACAATTATATAACGAGGAAAGAATACTAATTATTAAAATGTGATT